CTTCTGTTTGCTCTCAGCACACACATCTCCCACAGCTGCTGCCTCACACTGCGGCTCCTTCACTGCCTGCAGCCTCCCCTGCTGTCTGCCTTCAGCCCCGGTTAAAGGGAAAGCAAACACCCAACCTCTTACAGCTCACTGCTGTGCCATGCCCTGAGTAGGGAAAAAAAGGTTTTTCACACGACTTCTTTTTCCTCAGGCAAAGCATTCGACTCCAAGTAAGCCCTTCTGTAGAGGTGTGAGGTGGACACGTACCTGCAACTCCCAGATGTCTGCTGTTAAAGTGCCTCTGTTCTGCCCCTTAGTTACAGAATTAATCCACTGCCCACCACTCTCTGGATGTCTAAGCATTTTGCTGCAGGCAATGTGAGAAAGAACAAAAGGTGAGGTTTGAAAGCCTTCAGTGACAGAGAGCTAACTATGCATAAACCTGAGGGAAAGAGCCAGTTTTTGCAGAAAAGCAGATTTCTGCCAACCATTTCAAAGCGCTGCATCCTACAGCAATTTGGAACAGGGCCACATGGAGAAATAAGGCTGAAAAGAGGTTATGTACTGTTTGAATGTGCAGCAGTGCAGATGCTGCTTTCCTACGAGATCCTCAGCAGCACTTAAAGGAGTAACTGGAGGGGGGAGCACGCAGGAATCTCACAAGTTAAGCCCACCTCAGAAGCTTTAGTACACACAGCTGACTTTCTTTTCCTCTGTGCCAGAGTCCTAAAGTTAAAGGCACTATGGGTGAGCAAGTGCAAACATTGAGCGTAAGAGACAGAACTTTATGTTAATATATGCACATATTTTATGCCAGCAGCAAATGCATCACAGCTAAAGAATACCACGGCCAGCACTTAATTAAAAACAGGAAAAATGAGTCACGAGCCTCCTCCGACACAGCGCCCGCGCTTATTAAGAGGAAGCTTCCCTGCGCCGCAGTCCGAGGCCGTTACAGCCGCCACAGGGCCGCAGGTTTCCCCCCAAACTCCCCGAGCCCACCATGGGAGCCCGCCGCCCCTCACCTGGCAACGCCCGCACCCTCAGCGCCTTCTCCCCCCGCAAACCACCGCAGCTCCACCACTTTCCCCACCGGCTTCACGCTTCCACACCGTCCCCGCACCGCGCAGAGGCGGCAGCCGCAGCCCCGCATCGACCCCGCAGGGCCCTTAAGGACGGCCTGAAGCCCGAGGGCACGAACCGGAAGCGCCGTGACGTCATCAACACGCGCCGCCGTTCCGCGCGGCGCTCTTTGGAGGCGTCACCTCGGCAGGATGACGGGGATAGAAACAACCGGAGCCCTGCTGGCCCCGGCGCCTCGCTGCGGTTCCGGTTCTCATCAGGAAAAGAAAAATAAAAATGAAGCAGTGACGTGAGATAAATCCGAGGTAAATGCACACATTTAATGGTGCCGAGTGCAGCGTGCCGCGGTCGCAGCGATGACCGGAGATACAGGCCTCTGGCTGTGCCGTCCTCACTCCGTTTCCCGGAGGTCTGTAACGAAGCACGGTGTCTCCGAGCAAAACTTCCAGGTCGTGAGCGGGTTCCTCACCGCTCGGTGCGGGTTTAGAACCGGCGACTTCCGGGCTCCCAGCCCGGCGCTTTGCCCCTGGGCTACGTGAGCCCGCGAAAGTGCGCGCCCGGGGCGACCCGGCGCTGGGGCGTGGCTCAGGCGCAGCGCGGCTGCCTGCGGCTGCGGGGATCCGGGTTCGATCCCCTCCGGGGCACGGCCAGCAGCGCTTGGCTGCGGCTCCCGGCTCGGGCTGAGCGCTGCCCCTCCCACTCCAGCTGCCTCCAAAAACCACTGCAGGTCCCCTTTCGTAGAACGGCCTTGTGCTTACTGCTTCCTGTATAGTTAATGCTAATTATTCAGACAGGAAAAACAAGATGTTCCTCCTCCCACTAGCATCGAGTTGTTTGTATATACATGAATTGTTGAGCTAAACCACAGGAAAAATGGAAAAACTGAGACTCTGCAGCTGGTAAGAGGCAGGAGATTTGTAAGACCTCAGAGGAATAAGGGCACTCCCACGTTTGGTCTGCAAAGGATTTTGGAAGAAGGTTGGAAAAGGAAGGTAAAGAGGGGGCACCTGGAGTTGAACCAGGGACCTCTTGATCTGCAGTCAAATGCTCTGCCACTGAGCTACACCCCCTGCTGCAGCACCTGGCCAAGGAGCGCTAAAAAACACACACAGAGACCACTTATGTCTGCTGTTACAGTTCCTATAGATCAGCTTTCTTTGATTCCTAATTCACATGACAAGCAATTACAGGCAATAAGAATTGCACTGTGCATTTGCATTAACAACAAAAAAAGTGTTACTGATGCAAATATTCATTTTGACTGTGTGTGTTCAGTTGATCAGCATCAAAAACACAGATGTGGACAGAGCAGCTGGCTCTCCGTGCAAGGCGCAGGCAGACAGGGTCTAAAAACAAGGAATGCTGCTCGTGTTTATCTCAGGAAAAGCACCCAATCCAAAGGGGGCGCCTGGAGTTGAACCAGGGACCTCTTGATCTGCAGTCAAATGCTCTGCCACTGAGCTACACCCCCTTGAAGCAGCATCTGCACAAGGTGATTCTTAAGCAATCTATGCCCAGAGCTCAGAGTTGATCCCAGCTGCTTAGAATCCTTCATTTCATGCATCACTGGGTGTCCTAAAATTCACACTGCCTTCTACAGAGAGCTGCTACCAAGAGTTGAGTCACCAGACTCCCAGAGGACATTTGAAACAATTTTGGCCGTCACTTCTGTGCTGTTCTGTAATGTGAAAACCAGCATCGAGCTGAGCTCACCACAAGGCTGGAGAGAAAAGCCTCGCTTTAAAAAGATGCAGCCCTTCCAAAAAGGAACAGAATAACCCTTCCTGGAGACACAGAGCCATATTGCATCGGCCTTACAGGGAGGTAAAAATGATCAAACTGTGCTTATCCCAGCTCCCAGTCCTTTAAGTATCCTGAGAAAAATAACAGCCCAAGGGGGCACCCGGATTTGAACCAGGGACCTCTTGATCTGCAGTCAAATGCTCTACCACTGAGCTATACCCCCTGCTGCTGCCTGTCTGCCCAGCCTCAATTTTCCCACTCATTCCAAACGGGAGTCAATTCAATTATGCAGTGCCAATTATTGCAGTGCAGAAAGCAGTGCTCAAGGAAATCTCAGGTCTGTGCTCACCAACACTGCACTGCCAGTCCTCTTCCCGTGGCAATCCACCTCTTGGCACCTGGGCGCTGCTGCGCTCACCAAGGGACAGCAGCACCGACAGCTGAGGGGAGAAAGAGGCAGCTGAGAAGCTGAAAAGCAACTTGTGGGGCAGAAAAAGAGAGGCCAAGGGGAGGGGGCACCCGGATTTGAACCGGGGACCTCTTGATCTGCAGTCAAATGCTCTACCCCTGAGCTATACCCCCACTGGGCAGCACCTGCCAGGTGAGGCCCTTTGTGGCCGCTGACAGAGGCGCTGCTGCATTCCACTGCCTGCACTCCCAGCCCCGCCTCCCACACAGCATCCCTTTCATTAACCTTAACCTCCTCTCTGCTTTGCATGCATGCAAACCCTTGCAGGAACAAACCACTGACATCCCTGCTTACTTTGTCTCAACACAGAAACAGCAACACGTGGCACCAGCCGCCTCAGGACAGCTTTGGAGGCACTCACCTTTGCTTCTGTTTGCTCTCAGCACACA